TCCCCCCCCCCTCTCTCTCTCTTCTGTCTCTCTCCTACATCATCATACACGCACACACACTCGCTGTCTCTCTCCACGTACAAGTACAGTTCTACCAACTCGACTGAGCCGAGGAAGATTATGGTTCGTGTATGAAAGGAAAGAAAACATGTTCGTCATACGATCAAACTTCCCTTGAGGCCTGTGTCTGCCTGTCTGTCTGTCTGTCAGTTTATCCGTTTGTCAATCTGTCTATCTGTCAGTCTGTCAATATATCTGTCTGGGTGTCTAACCATTGAACAACCAACAAAACCCCTCACAAAATCCCACTCACAAAATCCCAAAACAAAAATGTGAGGCAGCGTGGTGGAATCAGGCTCTCGTCAAAATAAGGAAATCAAAGATATAGGCATTTTTCTGCCCGTTTGGCAATTTATTTATTTTTTATCAAATTTTTGTTTTTAAGCTCAACAGCTTTTATGTCCTTTTAAAAACACATTTCTGTTTATATTATCCTGAAAAACGATTAAAGGTACAAAAAATGTACATTTTCAGTTTTCAAGTACTCTCACGCATTGAAAGATACCAAGCTTTGGCGGTCATTTTCTCCCTTATTTTTCCTCTGAAATCAGGTTACCCTACTTACTTCAATCACAAATATTTCGACTTCTATTAAAGAAAGAAGGGTACTTTTTTCACAGAAAGATAGACAAATGAACAGGCTTTAAGGTGGCACCAATAACTCCACAAGCCCAAAAATTGACGAGTGCCTGATTCCACCACGTTGCCTCACACATAATGAGGAATGACGAAGCACACTCCTCACCACTACATACCACGTTTGTTTTAAAGACTGCCACTAAGCCACAGGTGCGTCTGCCCGATAAGAAAACCCCAACAAGTTTCTCGGGTTCCGACAGGGTTAAGATACTATTTAGTTTAGAGTTTGAAAACGCGTTCAAATCTGTCTGTAGCAAACCGCTCCGAAAGCATGCGATGACAGCTATGATAATAGTGAGACATTTGAGACTTAAATACCGGCAGGTGCAGGGGCGAGATTGTGCAAAGAAAGTAACCGGGGTCAAGAACAAGCACATCCAGGGAACAAATATCTGCCACATGTCCAATAATACACCTACGTACCTTTGTGTACATAGTTTTCTTGTTTTAGTAAGCGTTTTACGGCACTTGCAACACAGTTAGGTCAAACAATGGCCAAATATTAGAATTAGAGGTGTTACGAGAGAGTAACAAGCACAAAAAGGAAGTTTTCGTAAGAGTTTTACAGCACTTGCAACACAATAAGGTGATATAAGGTTCGAAGATTAGAGGTGTTACAAGAGAGTAGCAAATACAAAAAAGGAGGAGAGGTAAGGAAGATAGATGTTTGATAGGAAAGAAGGAGTAAACCACACCAGTGCACCCGCCAACCACTCACCGATGTTAAACACCTGAGTGGAGGACGACAAGCAAGACGGGGAAGAAAACCGTAGTGCCTGGGAGGAAGGAGGAGGAGGAGAAGAAGAAGAAGAAGAAGAAGAAGAAGAAGAAGAAGAAGAAGAAGAAGAAGAAAAAGAAGAAGAAGAAGAAGTATGGTACAAACAAAGAAAAGAAGGAGAGATGAGAACGGTAGGTGTTTGATAGGAAAGAAGGCGCAAACAGCCAACCATCCAAACAATTCTGTTCCGTTGACGGGGAGTTGGGTTAAATCTCAAGTTTCATGTAGCTTACTGAGAAACACTTAGCATCTGATAGGGAGAGAAGACACAACCTTGTCTCACTCCTCTTCGGATTTTAGTATAATATTCTGCTATTTCATTACACATTTTAATTCAGGACCTTATGAACTGCGAATTCAGAGCTACGATGTAAACCGGAAGCTGACTACCTTTGAGACTTCCAGTAGTGGCTGTGGAGGTTGAAATCCTGGTTTTTTTGGGGGGGGGGTTTTAGTAGAGGGTTTTTTTTTGTTTTTTTTATAGTAGATGGTTTTACGGCGCTCGCAACTGCATAAGGTCATATGAGCGCCAAGGGGTGGGTGTCAACAGAGAAGTCCTTACAGGGAATCAGACTTACTCTGCTCACCTCTCTAGCTTCAACAGCACAAGGTCTGCTTCGACTATCAAGTCATCCCGGAAATAGCGGGTCACAAGAGAGTGACAAACATACAAAAGAAGTAGAGGAAAATGACAATAGTAAGGATGAGGAAACAAAAAGCAGAAGTTCCCTGCTGCAGATCAGGCAGTTATGAGCGTGACTTGAGTCAGCCCATTTACAATTCTACTGTGCTTGAATGAGGAAAGTCCCCCCTTCGGGAATGGCCTAAAGACACTACAGTCCCAGGGGGTTGAAATCCTGTATATGACCAGAAGAATATAATATAATGTAAGACAGATAGGTCCAACACAGAAAACTCGAAATCACACATCCGTTTAACTGTGCCTGCGGTCCCGTTTTTCTTTCCTTCTCTATCTTTGTAAGATATCCCTCAAACTACTGATCCCCTGAACTATCGAGGCAAGTCCTGACGAATTCAAGCTATCCATGCTATACTGTATGGAGGTACTGTGAAAATTTCAGGTCCATAGAATTAAAAGTTTTTGAGATACTTCCCAACTTCCATTATATTTTGCTCCATCCATCCTCGTACTTCTAAAAAGGCAAAAAAAAGAAGGCAGCCCCAGTCAATTAAGATAATCTTTATTTACAACAAACAAACAAACAGCTTTGCTGTTCAAGAGCTCAAACAAGTATACTCAATCATGCACGTCTTTCAACACTAAATCAGCACAAACATTCTGACAGGAAGACATTTGCAAAATATTACTCTTAGTTTGCACTTTGCTAGGTAAGTGTAGGCAAAGATCGTACATAACAAGATAGTTCTCTCTGCCAAAAAAGTGTCCGCACATTATTGGTTCAAATGGTGCTGTAGTCATTGTTTTGAAGCTCTCTTTCGTTTCTCTAGAAGAAGAATAGGAATAGCACAGTTTGCTAGTTTCACTTTTATTGTTTTTCACACAAGTAGGATAACTCTGTTCGCGAAGTCCGCACTTTTTCGAAGAAGGTGCCATCGGATTTTGAGGACACTATTTTAATTGGCTCAAACTCAAAAAGAGGAGTGAACTATCTTGTTACATACGATCTTTGGAGTAGGTCTACCCTCAACGATCAAGACTCCCGCCTCGCCGACATCCTCACGACTGTACTCCCGCCTTTTGCTTTAGAGCTCACACACACCCTCTATAAATATATCATTGATGGTCAGGTCAGCTCACAGACACACTGCATGTTGAAAAATTGCAAATTTGAGGTACATGACACGTAATAGTTTACTATATCTGTCCCAACATTGAGCTTTCTTCAAGTCCTTTGATTATTCTAACACACAAGATAAAGATGTACACTTCAGAGTGCTGTCAGGCGTAACACTAGCAGATAAACACCAATTGATGAAAAAAAGTAGAGTACAATATATATCGTTCTTCAAAGCCAGTCCGTCCCTTTTCCTCCTCGTTCACTGTAAGCAAGAGAGGCCAGATCCTTTCACTTTGTTTTTTAGAGTCATTTACCGTGTTCTACTTTTTAAATTTCTTGGCGCTCACAATGAGGTGTCAAGCATGGCTGCAATTTTTCAATCAGTCTTTCACACAGTCACTTACACGGCCACTCACACAATCTCTCACACGGCCACTCACACAATCTCTCACACAGCCACTCACACAATCTCTCACACAATCACCCACAGAGTCACTCACACAATCACCCACACAATCTCTCACACAGCCATTCCTACATCACACAACAGCTACAACTTGACAGAGGCCATGATTTTCTGCTTGTAGGAAGCGACCAGACGATCAAAGCTGTCCACGTCCCTTCTCTTCTTGCCAGACTTCTGAAATTGTAAAAACACAAAAACAGTTTAGTCTCCACATTCACTAAATTTGTTTTAACTATAAATACGTGTCCCAAAAGTAAATTGTTTCAAACAAATTGAATTTAGGTATACAGCCGCTCAAAGTGACAACGTTATTTGTACATATTGCAAACATACAACAAGATCAAATTAAAAATTCAAAGCAGGTGTAAATACTCATTCCTCACAACCAAAAAACTGCCTACTTCAAACCTAATCTTTCGCATTTACCATAGATTAACTCACTTCAGACGGGTCACACAACAGTTGCGTGACCCCCGCCATGACGCTCGCGTCGGGTCTCACAAGCCCTGCATGACCAACTTTGGAATTTTTTTTTCGCTCTACAAATCACGCACGGATCGCGAGACCCGCCTCGTACCCTTGTTTGGCCAAGCCTGAGCTACTTAGACTTCGTTTCGTATCTCTGGGGCCGGTAGTTTTTAAGTTATTGAAGGTGAAAGACAGTGACCCCAACTGGGGTTGAACAGACCGGAACTCGCGCTTTGTTTTTTTCTATACAGCTCATAGTAATCCGACAGTCGCGTCGTAGTAACGGTCGAAGAAGTCGCATGAACAAGAATCACATAATTTCGCCGTTTTCTATACTTCTGTGCGTTTTACTAGTTCTAGTGTCTCAGAATATGATGTGTCTAATAGTTAGGATCCTGGATATGTACCCGAACACGGCCCGAGTCGTAGTTCTAGGGCTAGATCTAGCACTAGTACCGGTGTTGTTTTTCGCGCAACGAAATCACAACGTCGTGCCGTACATCTGTCTCATGTAATTCAGTGTATGGGTCTGAATCAATGCACAGACCAGCTTTTATATTTTCACCAAACACTTGCACATGTATACAAGTCAAACCAGAACACTTTGAACTTTTATTTTTGTTGTTGCAGTGAATTTCATTCTACTTGTCACGTCTCTGGAAATTTTTCGAAAATCAAATTCATGCCAATTTTTAAAAAATCGTACAAATTAAAGTATTAAACTTCGACAACTTTAGTTTTTTGTATTAGATTAAGCTTGAATGTTACTTTACTGTGTCAAAAAATGATTACAATAGGGTAATTCTGAGAGTTGTGGTGATTTATTGAAATACCCCCCAAAACACCAGTCTTCAATGCTTGTGGCTGGTGAAAGGGCCCAGTCGCAAGTGAGTTAATACTCCACATACACCAAAATTCTTCATACAAATGAAAATTACAGAGAGAAGCAGATTTTTGCTGCAGCAAGAAAAATGAGATCTCCAATATTTTCTATCCACCCTGAAAAGCAAGGCAAATGGGGCGGCTTATTTTTCTTACAGGTGTACTCTTATGGGATTTCAGAGATTCTTATAACAAATTCAGAAACGACAACAGTAAACCCTTTCATGGAAAACCAGACAAAAGTTTGTGTATGTGCCTGTTTCATGAGATAAGGTATAAAGATATGACTTCAAGAGAACTGTCTTAAAAGTTTTACAAACACAGTACACCATGAAGACATCAAAATGGTGAGAATGCTTAAGTAACGTGATGAGTGCTGCATAAATTCTCTATGCTTCCGTGAAATGTACAGCTCTATTTTCCAAAGTGTCAGTTCAGTACACTCGCTTTTTTCTTTCATTGAAAATAGAAAGCCTTTTTTCATTTGAAAACAAGAATGAAAATCAGCCACTTTCCTTTTCATTGTATTTAACTGAAGGGGAAAAAGGCTAAAGTCTACTGGACCAAAGATCGTACATAACAAGATAGTTCACTTTGCCAAAAAAGTGTCTGCGGAAGTCCGCGCATTACTTCAGATGGCGCTGCAGTCTTTGTTTTGAAGCTCTCTTTCATTTCTCCAGGAGAAGAATACGATTACCACAGCTTGTTAGTTTCACTTTTATTGTTTTCACACAAGTAGGGTAACTCTGTTCGGACAGTCCACGCTTTTTCGAAGAGGGCATCACCGGATTTTCAGGACACTTTTTTAATTGGCTCAAGAAGAGGAGTGAACTATCTTGTTATGCACAATCTTTGACTGGACACACAACAACCTCAACAACAAGCAACATGCCGAGTCACAAACCATCATCTTCATCGACTGTCGCTCCTCCTTCCTGTTCCCTTCAGCGGCTCTTCTGTTTGCCGGCTGTCCTCCTCGAGGCTGCATCCTGTTCTGATTCCTCCCCTCACCTCGACCTTTGCCCTGCGCCCCCGGCCGCGGTTTGTGTCGTTGCTTGGGGCCGGAGTGCGACGGAAGACCCAGGGGACCCTAAGGACGACATGGATTTACAGAATCAGCTCACACATCACCAATAGTTGTTTGCTTTAGTGTAAGGTTTTACAGCGCTCGCAACTGCATAAGGTCATATGAGCGCCAGGGGGTGGATGTCAACAGAGAAGTCCAAACGAGGAATCAGACTTACTCTGCTCACCTCAACAGCAAAAGTCTTCTTCGACTATCAAGGCACCCTGGAAATAGCAATTCACAAGAGAGTGACAAACATACTAAAGAAGTAGAGGAAAAATGACAATAGTAAGGATGAGGAAAGAAAAAGCAGCAGTTCCCCCTATGTTGTTCCGCCACAGTATTAGCATGACATTGATAAATCAGCCCATTTACAATTCTACCGAGCATAAGAACATGTTAATATCCCACATTAGGTAAATCACAAAGAGTATCATCATCTTTCCTCTTTAAGAAATTCTCACACACCTTTCCTGGAGGATGATTTGAACTTTCAGTTTTAACCACATAATTTTCGTCTAATTTACTTTCAGTTTACGAACCTCTCTGATCCTTGATACAATCTCAGTTTCTCATTCAGAATTCAACAGAGATATTATAAATTAGTATAAATTTGCCTTTTCATATATTTTTTTCATAAGTTAGAAAACTATAGAAAATACAGGAAGAAATAAAAAGCATCAAATAAAGATTTGACAGCCATAAACAAAAGTAAAGAGAGACAGTAAAAAAAACCCAAAAAAACCTACAAGTGACACAGTCAACCTGTCTCAACTATCTGCATGTTGAATGCTCATTCACAAACAATTCATCAACACATTACAAAATCAAACGGCTGTGGATAGAAACAGCCTGTTGAATGACAAAGATAAAAGACACAAATAAAAATGAAAAATTGAAAAGCCAACAACCATCCCCAAGCACCAACGAACACTTAATTTTCTGCCAAGAACCAACAAGCAAGCAACATATCCCCCAAAAAACAACAAGCACACAGCTCCCCCCCCCCCAAAAAAAAACAACAACACACAACAACAACAGGCACACAGCTCTTCACCAAAAAACAAGAATACAGCTTCATGCACGCAGCCCCCCACCCCCCTCCAAGAACCAAACAAACATATGCAGCTCCCCCCCACCACCACAACCCCCCCCCCCCCCGGTCCTCCCTTACCTGGTGCAAAGACCTGGCCACCTGGTCCTGTTGCTTCCTCGTGGTCAAAGGCTTGGCGTCCTTGGCCTGAGACTTCCTGTTTCGCCTCTTTTTCTTGGCGGCACCTGAGGAATTTTCCGGCGCCGTTCCATTCTCCTGTCCATCTCTCTGCTTCGGTTTCTGCTTCTGCCTCAACTGAGATGGAAGACAACAGGGTTCAGAGACAATCTTAGGTTTATTAAAAGTTTTATGGCACTTGCAACACAATAAGGTCGTATAAGAGCCGAGGTGTTACAAGAGTGTAACAAACACAGAAAAGAAGTAGGAGAGATCGGAACAATAGATGTCTGATAGGAAAGAATGAGCAGAAACTATCTTACATGGTTAACATTACGTTGACAGAATCATGTACACTTGGGGAATATTGTACAGAAAAGTGGAAAAAGACGGGAAAATGTCAAGAGGCCGGCCAGAGATACGGAATAGTGGAAAGCATTTGTCTGTGGACCTATCCCTGGTCCAGGGGAAGAAAGACAATGAAGATGAATAACATGTGCACTTCGGATAATCTTTCAAGAAAAAAAAGAGAAATCAATTGATGTACAAACTACAGAGCATTTGAAACTACAGTGTGAATGCTTTTAAGTATACTGAAGAGCATATGACTCACTTTAGCTTGCTTCAGGCTAGTTTAGGTTAAAAGTAGGAGTTTTACGGCACTTGCATTACAATAAGCTCATATATAAGTGCCTAAGATTATAGGTGTTACAAGAGAGTAACAAACACTAAAAAGGAGAACAGATAAGGATGATAGATTCTGAGGTTTGATAGGACACAAGGAGCAAACCACACCCGATCACCCACCAACCACCCACATACAACTCAATATAGAGACAATGGGAAGTTTTCTCAAATATTTTCAGAGTATTCAGTAAGAAGCAGATATTTATGATTTATTTTATTTTTATACACATCTTGGGCTTTACAACAACCAACGCCCAATACGTGACACAATACATGACACAATACATGACACAGTACATGACACAATACATGACACAGTACATGACACAGTACATGACACAGTACACGACACAGTACACGACACAGTACACGACACAGTACACGACACAATATATGACAAGAGACAAAGCGCATTTTTTAAAAAAACAACTGATAGAAGCTCATGGAGACAAAACTTACCCTGGACTTTTCCAGCCTTTTCTCTTTTGCCTCCAGAGCTTTGCGATTTTCCAAAGAAAACTCGACAATTGGCCGCTGCGTGGAAAAAAACAAATTGGACAAAAACAGTAAGTTCAACAGTTCTTTTTTAAAGATTTGTCTGCACAATTCTTATTAAATGTGAGGCAGCGTGGTGGAATCAGGCTCTCGTCAAAATATTCAAAATGCAGAAACTTGCATTTTTCCGCAGGTTTGTGAATTTTTATTAAATTTTTGTTTTTTGACTCAACACCTTTCATGCCCATTAAAAAACTCATTTCTGTGTCGATTTTTCTGAAAAACGTTGATAAAAGGCACAGAAAATGTAAATTTTTAGTTACCACGGACTCTTAAGCTAAGGAAATAACTAACCTTTGGCAGCCATTTTCTCACTAATTTTACTTCTGAAAAAAGGTGACCCCCAACTCCTTCATTTGCAAATATCTCGACTTGTATTCAAGATAAATGTTTTGGGTTTTTTTCTTCCAAATAATAACAAGTGAACAAACTTTAAGATGATACCAATAACTCTACATGCCCAAAAATTGACGAGAGCCTGATTCCACCACGCTGCCTCACATATCATTATTGCCAAGCCTTCCAAAAACTTAAATGTTGAGTATTTAAATATAAAACGTAACAATTACAGACACGTACTCATAGTAATCAGCATTTCGCGACCTCAGTGGTTTCTTCTCGTATCTCTATTCTTTTTTTTTATATGAAAAATGTGACTTCTTCTTCAGCTCACTTTTTTTTATGAACTGTTTTCACTGTTAAAAACAATGGAGATACAACAAGAAAGCACTGAGGGTCGCGATTTCCTCCCCTACAGTCTACTGAGGATCCCGTCAAAGCAATGCTAAAAAAGACTTCTTTGTACGCTGCACAGGAGGCACAAGGATGCCACATGTTAAAACAGGGCTACAGAAGGGTGGTACATGTTACATCAGACCAGCGCAACTGTTTTAGTTTTAGTAAGGTGTTCACAGTGCTCGCAACTGCATAACGTCATGTGAGCGCCAAGGGGGTGGATATCAACAGAGAAGTCCAAAACGGGGAATCAGGCTTACTCTGCTCACCTCCCTAGCCTCAACGGCACAAATCTGCTTCAACTATCAAGGCACCCCGGAAATAGCAGTTCACAAGAGAGTGACAAACATTCAAAAGAAGTAGAGGAAAATGATGATAGTAAGGATGAGGAAAGAAAAAGCAGCAGTTCCCCCTATGTTGTTCCGGCATAGTATGAGAATAGCATTGATCAATCAGCCCATTTACAATTCTACTGTGCATAAGAATAAGTTGATATACCCCATTTGGGAATGGCCTAAAGACACTTCAGTCAGTAGCACTGCCCGGGGGGGGGGGGGGGGTTTGATCCTGCTCTAACCAACGGCGACCTAAAACGACAAGCGCCTGAACAAACGATCACTTCCCACAATCCCCTTTGGTTTTTTTCTTCTCTGTATTATCATTATAACGGAACTGTTCAAGAGGACCACCTGTCTGGGTAACCACAAATTTCCTTAACAATGGATGGTCGTCTTGAACAGGTTTGAATGGCATTGCTAGTTCACGGTTGACGTCAGATAACGGTAAAAGCGAACCAGTGCTGCCGTTACCTTTTTGTCCCCAAAGACGGTGGAGTTGTTGTTGAGGTGTCGCAGGGCCGCCAGAGCGTGCTGGTGTTCGCTGAAGGCGCAGAATGCGTAGCCCCGAGACTTGCCCACGCCCTGGGCGTTCACTCGGTCGAGGTCCCGCATGACGCGACACTGAGGAGGAGATTAAAGGGTGACAAATTTTTATTAAAAACAACACAAATCGGTCCAATAAGTGCCAAAGATTAGAAGTATAAAAAGAGAGTAACAAACATCACAAAAAAGGAGAGAAAAGGATGACAGATGTTTAATGGGAAAGAAGGAGCAGACCACATCAGAGCAGAGCACCCACCAACAACTCACACTCCACCCATGTATGTTGTTGCCCTTGCTACAATAATAATAATAGATAGCATTTGAATAGCGCAAATCCCCGTTCAACAGCAAGCTCTATGCGCTTCACAATCTACACTATTACCCCAGAAGACCTGAGAGCATTCTGAAATAACCTTAACTTCCTGGGAAGCATACAGTGCAAGCGGCCATTTATAGGCGCTAAAACACTAACATACTGACAAGATCTTTCGCTGTCTATGGCTGGGTACCCTTTCCCACCTGGGTGAAGTGAGGAAAATTCGTGTAAAGTGCCTTTCCCAAGGACACAACGTCGGCCCTGCAGCTCCAACCCCCGAACCCACAACCTCTCGATTACCAGTCCGGTAGTCTAACCACAAGGCCACCAACAAACAAAAAATTTAAAAACCCTAACGCACATTCCACTGGGACAGCACCGACCTCTGTGACCCTAGCCTGCCTGTCGCCGGCGGCCTTGAGGCAGACAACTCTCAGCTGTTTGTCCGTGACGGTCGTGGGCAGATTGTGGAGACACAGACGGACCGAGGACACAAACACGTTCTGGTCCCTCAACTTTTTCCTCTTGGCCGAGTCGATCTGAGGAGACAAACACCAAACCGCTTTGTGTCAAGGTGAGGAGAAGGTGGCCCTTTCAAATCTGTGAAATCATTCAACTCACAGAAACTCGCCAATTTTTTCATATTATTATTTTTTTGCGGGGAACAACTTTTTTTTTTTTTATTCATAATATATAAAACAAAAAAGATGAGAGGTTGAAATCTTTGCGAAACAAGAGGCAATTTGTCAGTCCTTCTATTCATACCTATCTGTATTCTCATCTGTACAGTGTGTATATAAATCAATAATCAAAACCACCTTTAAAAAAATACATAATCACCATAAAAAGCGACTTGAAGTAAATTATAAAATTAGAGAGCAATAATTATAAGATCATACCAAAATATTATGGGTCAAGGGAAACAGACCCACAGATGGTCAAACAGTAAAAAAGAAAATGGTAACAAAGTTTATAAAAACAGAGAGAAATAAGAGTTCTGACAGTCAACTGGCAAAAAAAAAACCCCACTCAAAAGTTCAAAAACACAAGGCAATCACAGTACTTTTGTTCCTACGGCAGAGCTCTGATTCTGCCCAAACAAATCGTTAAAAACACAGTGGTGGGTCAAATAGCAAGATTCATCATAGATCCCCAAGACGAAAACCAGTTAGCTGCTTGATAGACAAAAAAAAAAAAAAAAAAAAAAAAACTCACTGGACACCCTACCCCAACAACTTAACATCCCTCCTCTCTTGCCCTTTTTTTTTTTTTCCCCCATCCCTCCAACCTTTCTGAAATATCGTAAATCTTGAAAACTTTCAACATGCCCTTTCACTCAGCAGACGTGAGTCATTCAGGGAGGACAAAGAGAAACTAGACTGCCTCAAACGTTACCCGAAAGAGGTGGTGGGTGAACCAAGCAAGAAGCACACTTCTCGTGATCACACACGATGTATTACTGACTTCATTGCTGCCTAGATCAATACACAAACACCCACACACACCCACACACACAAAAACACCCTCACATACACACACAGCAAAATACACACATACACACACAGAAACACCCACCCAGCAGACAACAACAACAACAACAACTCCCAAAATCCTCCTTGCCCCACAAAGCATGAGGGTCTGTCGTTCCACCACTCTACCTTGGCTCTTTTAGCGAGGTCTGCTGCCGGTACATCTTTGGCTCCCTCTGTGCCCGGCCGGATCACTGCGGAGGAGATAGCAGTTTGTGTTGATTGTGAGGGAGAGGGAGAGAGAGAAGGAGGGAAGGAGAGAGAAGAACAGAGAGAGAGAAAGAGAGAGAGAGAGAGAGAGAGAGAGAGAGAGAGAGAGAGAGAGAGAGAGAAAGAATAAAGGAGGGAGGGGGAGGAGGAAGGGAGGGAAATAATGAAGTAGGACCTACCAATCGCACCCTCCAACCACCCATGAAGAGGAGGAAGAGGGGAATAACAAGACCAAAAGCAACAAATCTGAACTCAAAGGAATCACCAACAGCTTAAAAGGTATCAGTGAGTTCATAATTCCGAGACACTTTTATGGTTGTTTTTTTTAAGATTTAGTAAAGTTTTACGGCCCTCACAACTGCAAAAGGTCAAATTATCAGCGCCACGGGGTGGATGCCAACAGAGAAGTCTAAACGGGGAATCAGGCTTACTCTGCTCACATCTCTAGCCTTAACTGCACAAAGTCTGCTTCAACTATCAAGGAAATAGCAGTTCACAAGAGAGTGACAAATATACAAAAGAAGTAGAGCAAAAATGACAATAGTAAGGATGAGGAAAGAAAAAGCAGCAGTTCCCCCTATATTGTTCCGGCACAGTATGAGCATGACATTGATAAATCAGCCCATTTACAATTCTACAGTGCACAAGAACATGTTAATATCTCCCCTTTGCGAATGGCCTGACACCTGTCCGTCAATAAGCTCAACTCAAAGTTTTTCAACACAGAACGCTTCTACACTCACTTCCTTCTCGAGCCAGGTAAAGATTCCTGGTGTCCTTCTGTTCTTTTTTCTCGTCTTTCTTGCCAATGATCTCCCCTGCTCTTTGCCGAGTCACAGCCAGGGTCACATAGAGGTCGCGTCCACCTATGGTCAAGCCAGAATCACCCTGACAGAGAGAGAGAAAAAAATGTGCGCATATCATAAATTAACTGCAAAGCGCATACAGGTTGCTGTTGAGCCGGGTTAGGCATTATACAAATGCTATTTATTATTATTATTATTACATAGCACTCCAGGTTAGAGAAAGTCACCAGAGCGAAAAACTTGGTAGAACCTGAAATACAGAGTCCTTTGGACTATTGAAAGAGACTAAATGCCTTTGTGTTAAGTCTAGATATGAAGTCAATGTAACAAGATTTGTTCTGCTTCCTTACCGCTGTGCATCAGAGTTTACCTCTTTTTAACTCCTTATCTCCAGCAAGCCGCTAAAAGCTAAAACTTAAAAGCTACTACAAATCATTGACAAATCCTGTCTTACACTTTCATAGTTCTAGGAACATAAATATACAAATTATGTATTTTAGGCCATTTCTGATCTGATATACTCTGTTTCCTACATGTAAATTATGTAAACATCATTACCTTCCCTGAGGAATCCGACGCTTCCAGGCACGAGTCCGCACTCTCTTTAGATTTGTACTGGACAAATGCAGAACCTGTGAAAACAAAGGACTATAAGATACCACAGTCCTTGTTAGGTAAGTGTTTTACAACACATGCAACTACATACGGACATAAGAGCAATGCCATAGTTCACAAAGCTGTTACCAGCACACTACATATTCCTCTCCCTCACACTCCTGATGGAGAAGGTCAGACAAGTTTGATTTGAAGCCAGATGGGAAGAAGAACACTTCTCAAAACTTGTGGACCAACAAATAAAAATATTGGCTTTTACTTTCAGGGGTGATATAAATAGTTATGGACGAAATAAAACAGACTGAAATTTCCATAGCAAACAATCACACAGGAGAAGTAAAAAGTATGTCGAGCATCCCACAACTAAACAAAGATTCAAAATGTTAGATGATAAAAGTGGCCTGCTTTAGAATCATAACCAGTTCCAATATGTACAACACAAACATTTCCCCTTACTTTGGACCGGAACGTGCTTCTACCATGGTGATAGCCTTGCAGATACCTCTAGACAAAAGCTTTAATAAGCAGTAAAGCGAATAACAAACATTTTGAGTGAATATGATATGGTTATCTCATTTATAAGTAACATAAAATTTGGTTTATTTAAGGGGTGAATAGGGTAACCATCGTTGGCAAAGAATGTGAATAGAAATTGTTTTTTAAAACAAGCATTTGTCCATACCTTTAGGGACACCAGTGGCGTGATCAATCACAAGCTTGGCATAATTGACGTCTCCAAACTGGGAGAAGAACTCTTCCACATCTTCTTCTTCAACTGAGAACGGCAAGTTTCTGGAAAAGGAAATGCAAACAGGATTGGATTAGACATTTGCCAAAAAAGCACCATGACACAGTATTTCTTCTTTTTTTTTTTTTTTTTGCTAGTGTTTTATGGCGCTCGCAACTGCATAAAGTCATAGGAACACACAGTATTCCTATCGTCAAAGAAAAATTTTTCTCTCTGCGGTCCAACACCTGTCTTCGCACAACAAAAGCCAATTGTTCATTTTCTCCAACTTTTGAATTCACACACATTTTCATACTTTTCATCATGTGTTGGAGAAATTAAAAAGAAATCTTGTATTCAGAGGAGAAGACCCAACAATATCCTCTGTTAGTTGAAAGATGTCAATGACAATGACAATGACAATGACAATCTTTATTCATCTCGAAGAGAGAAATTTGTCTTGGTCGTTAACAATGGCAGTAGACGTTACAAAAGTTAGACTTAAAGGTGCACTCACGCAAACGCACAACAAGATAGAACATTAGGCCAAGTAAATACATGTCTCACGGGCTGGGACAACCCGCTCCGTAAAACATTAAATCTCTCTCTCTCTCTCTCTTTCTCTCTCTCTCTTTCTCTCTCTCTCTTTCTCTCTCTCTGTTTCATTTGTAGCACTGTGTGTTCAGTAACCTCACTGCAGTTGGTACGAATGAATTTCTATATCTGTCTGTTCTTGCTTTTTTGGAAATGTATCGTTTACTGCAGGACGATAGTTGAAATTCCGATGTCAGTGGGTGGCTATGGTCACTAAGCATTATTTCCGCCTTTTTTAGAACGTTTGTCTTGTGCAGATGTTCAAAGTCACTTGACAATAAAAAAAAACACACTCCTTTAACACTCTGCCACCACAAGGCTCGTATAGTACAAACCCATCAAAGGCAAAGGCATTTGGGGGAAAATCCAAAGAAACTGGGTGGTAAACATCACAGATCGGCAGATGATGATTCATGATGTGACTGCAAAGTGTTAATTACTACACGATGAAAGACAATCTACTTAATCATATGGTTACTGCCAAGGGCCACGCATGAGCACGCACACACAAATAATCCATTGTGTCTGCGGCTAGTTACCTGATAAAGAGTGTCCGGCCCTCTGAGACATCACTTGGTCGGTCTGGGGGGACAAAAAGAGAGACAACTCATAGAGAATTTTAACTTTTTAAATGTTCTTTTAACACAACAAAGGATCAAACAAAGTAACCTTGACATCTCCTTTATTCCAAGCAGTAACAACACAAACAATGAAAGTTGTAAGAGTACCTCAATCCTGAAAAAAGAATTTTACAAGAAAATGTACAAGTGACTGTCTTATACAGCTGGTCGTTAGAGCAAGTTCGACTGTACTTATCATCCACACATGGAACTTTTTCCCGAGGTGCTCCGCTGTCATCTGAGGGTAACCACAGCGGCAGTCCAACAAGTCCAAAACTCAATATCTAGGCTGCAGATGATGGCTGGGTCTAGAAAGAAGATCTTAACTCTTTTAACCCTGAGTTTTTTCCACCGTTTCCCTAAGTTTTTTCTAAAGTCACCAAAACCTGGTGTACTGTGTCTCATTACAACACCAAAAGCTTGCCTCCAACTTCTAAACAGTGAAAACAAAGGCTTAGTCTTAGTCTAGTTCCGAAAAACAAACAAAAACTAGCACTAAATAAAACAAAACAGTTGTAGCTAGTATCAGACGCTCCTAGTGTCCGATGGGGTTTAACACCTTCGGGACCGGCCCCACACCAGCTGATCCTATCCAGAGGACCAGAGCTGCCGCATACATCCCTTGAAAATACTCGCTTTGACGACACTTTTTTACTCTTCTAATCAACTCAAACTGGCTTCAACTTCGGTGAATTCAAAAGGGAAAGAACTCTTCTGAGTTGAACAAGCAGTCAGAAAACGTGGATAATTTGGAATAAACCTGGACTGGCTTGAACGAGTGGTATTGCCATCAGTCACGTAAATATACGGCGGTGGTCCGACTCGGTCAGGCGCAGCTCGCATATTAGTACGTCAGTGGTCCCGAAGGTGTTAAAGAGTGAAGCAGATAAACAGTACATATACACTCGCTACCGAAGAATTCTCACCTAGGTTCTTCGATGGCTTCATATCAATCTCCTCTTCCTCACTGTCCCCCTCCTCGTCATCATCATCATCATCCTCATCACCACTTTCGTCTTCCTCCTCCTCAGATTCATTTTCACTCTCCTCGCTTCCTTCATCACTTTCGTCATCCTCTCCACTGTCGTCTTTGTTGTCTTCACCGTCACTTTCTTTCCCTTCTCCTTCCGAGTCTGCGCCATCTTCTGTTCCATCATCCACCTCCATGTCTTCCTCTGTCGTTGATTTGGATTCTGCAGTGAGAGAGAGAGAGAAATGAATCAAATGATAAACTGAAAATATGGAAACTCCCATGATGTACATACCATTATTTTGGGAAGACATAACCCTAAAGTCTTACCTATGTTTAACAAAAGCTAACCCCAGAGCCCTTTTGCCAGGTAGCATCCTGTCTTATTTGTTACTTTACTTCTTTTCCTCAGTCGCAGAAACTCAAGTTAGGTTAGTGTTGTTTCACAGAGTCTAGCACTCATCCACATATTCTGGGGGGGGGGGGGGGGTTCAACTCCACAGCAGGTAAAACTATTTTATTCGGTTTTATTAGTAAAGAGATGCACAATGACTCAACCTAGGTCATTTAGTGCAAGGGAAATGTAAGATAGATACTCAGTGAGAAGAGAGGGAAAGAAAAGAATCTGGACCTACCAGTGGCAACCTCTGACCACCCACAGGTAGAAGTATTTAAGACTCATTACTCCCAATCACCCCACAATTACCAATATATATCTATATTCAGTATAAATAATATAGTGTAAAGCGCATAGAGCCTGCTGTTGAGCGGGGATATGCGCTATACAAATACTATCTATTATTATTATTATTATAAAGACATTATGACGGTGCAATATGATATTTTAACAACAAGACATCAGAATTTTTTTTTAAACAGTGAAAACAGACATAGATTGACACTTTGCCATCTCATCTTGCCGAGTGGCGATGTTTACCACCCAGTTTCTTTAGATTTTCCCCAAAATATGATGGCAGAGTGTTAAAGAAGCAGAACATAACAGGACACAAAACACGTACCCAGCTGTGACTCAAACTTGTCTTTAGGCAGGGCCCAGTCCACAGCCACAGTGCGACCTGAAACAAAAGAAGTTTTTTTTCAATGTGTGTCTTTTACTGCCTTTCTAATGCAATAAAATTTCCTTTCTATGAATAATTACTCGTCATTTATATCTTTCATTCCAACAGGTTAAAGAACATATTTCAGTGCTGCTGATTAGACCTTTAACTTTGTAACTTTCTCCTTAGCTGCATTTTTTTTTTTGTTGCATATTTTTACAGTACTGATTACGTAGAGAAAATATTCATCTAAACCTTTCTTTTTGAAAGTGCATTTTACTTCTTCATCCAATACCATTTTTTTCCAGTCATGACAATAATTTGGGACACTTTTCCTTCACATTTTTTTAATGTAATCATTTTTTTCAATTCTCTACCGCATTTTTTTCTGCTCTTCTTTGATATTTGATCTTCCCATTTATAAAAAGTGGGACTTCAAAATCCTCTTCAATTCCCAATACCATGAGGTAGAGAGTCCAAAAACTCCCCATAACTGAAGGTATAAATGATTTTAAAAACAGGTCATTTGCACCACATTTTATTACGTTAATGGCCCCAACTACAAGGGACACCAAAAAAAGAAAAGACTCACTTAACTAAATATTTAACATAAATTGACCCCACAATTATCAACCTCACTCATTAGTTTTTTCCATGAGAGCATTTCACTTCCCCAAGGAGCATACAGCACTGCTACAATTATGATGCATACAGCTATCATTCACAGAAATTCCTTCTCTATCTATAGCCAAGTACACATCGGCAGGAGGATGACCCAAGGACAACTTTCCTTATAATACAACGTCCTAGTGGGGAAACCACAATCTTTCATTGAACTGAGAATCCACAGCCTTCACCACAAGACTGAGAAAAACCAAAAGCTATAAAAAATAAAGAATATTACAATAATATTAACATACCTTGATCTCAAAGGCAGTAAGACTATATTTAGTTAAACAAATTTCCCCAACACCGAATAAAGAATACTATGGTGTTAGGCTACTCAGTCAACCATTTTCAGTTGCCCCATTTTCTGTTTCTGTGACAAAACGAGACATGAACACCGAGCCCAGCGATGACCTTGACCTACCCATGAGTGGTCTGCCGTTGACGGCCTTCATGGCCATACCAGCCTGCGCCTTGTTGGACATCTGCACAAAGGCAAACCCCAGTCTCGAACCTTTGCCTGCGGGAAGACATGAAAGCTATGTGAGAACAATTGCTGAAAATCAGATTAAAAAATCACAGGTGCCAACTGGCTATGAAAAAAAACTTGAACTTTTCAGACTCCCTGGAAATGTGCAAGCAAGGATTCAAAAGAGATCATTGATTCTTATACATCTTGTATCAAGACAGTTTTTCGGTAAAGTGCAACAACTTCTAACTAATCACCCTGAAGTCAGACAAAATCCAGACAATTTCAGAAATCCCATTTCCAGATGTATCTAGAAATTCGGTAACTCTACATAAAAGAATTTCACAAAGTTGAAATGCAAACACTGAAAAAAAAAGGAGGCAAAATACTTGAACCGGTCTCAGACATTCAAATGCTACTTGGTCAGATTTCACCAATTTTAACTCCATTCCCCAATTACTTCATTAATGCAATAAAAGATAACTTTAAAACATGTTGTTTTGCTATACAAGGAAAAAAATATATAACTCAGCAAAACGAAATTCAAAACATTGAGTCTTATCAGAGTTCAGTAGCTGTACCTTTTTTAGGAATGTGGACGTCTATAACATTGCCATGCTTTGAAAAAGCTTCAGACACTTGTTCTTTGGAGCACTGGTGAATAAAATAAAGCAGCCACATGAAGGTTTGTGAGACAAGAATAGTTATTAAATATTTTGAGAGCAAAGAGAACTTCAACATGGAAGATGATAAACAAAACAGAACAGACATATAAAAATGCTCATGAACATTTTGACACCGCAGCATTTCTGTTCGAAATAAGCTAAACAAGACTAGTACAAACTGCAACACAAATCTTACCCTTAATCCCGGTATGCAAGACAAGTTAAAATCTTCACAATAATCAATTCTTTCTTCAAGCCTCAAACACCGTAAGTTGCCCACAACACATACCTTGAAAGCCAAATTTCTGACAATGAGCCGAGCTCGTTTTCCTTCTGTTTTAGGGTTCGGCGTCTGCTTCTTTCCCTTCTCTGGTTTCTCTTTCACAATTTTCGGCTTCTTCGCCTTGACCTGTGGGCCCGCTGGGGTCGTCGCCGCCATTTGTGAATCCTCCGGCTCCTGTTCCTTCTCCTGTTTCTCCGGCAAGAGTCTGCGTTTCCTCGAGTCCTCCGTCGCCGCCCCGTCTCCCAAGCCGAGAAGTTCATCGCCCTGCTCACCTCCTTTAGACCTAGGTACGCCAAACCTCTTCTCTGAGAAAAAGAAGAAAAGTCCCGTCAATGATTTGCAGATGTTCACTGAGCCAATACAAAAGGGGCTGCAAAGTGAGGAGAGGTGTTACAACAGAACAGGGAGAAACACATCCCAACATAAAAAGAATTCCTGTCAGGGAAAATAACCACTAGGTGTCTCAAAACTAACAAAATCCTGCACCATCCTAAACTTACAAAGTTACTGTAAAATGCAAGCTCCAAATCATTCGACATGCCCACTGAAGCTTATCAAAAAGTGAGAAGAAGAAAAAAAACAAAACAAAAAACCCCACACTAATAAGCGTATCTAGTCCCTTTAAATTACAGCACAGAATATGAACTAGGAACACTCTGATATTATAGTTTTATGAGATATCCAGAGGAGCACAGCCATGAATGGCACACAGAAACTTACTCTTCTCCTTTTTGTTGGCATAGATGATGTGGACATTTCTCCCATTCACTGTCTTCACTGTGCTCAAAGCTTTTTCTGCATCTTCCCTGAAGATCAAAGGAATAAAAATAGCCAAATAGATTCTATAATAACATCAATAGAACTGCTATGTACAGAAATCCACAAGGTTCAATTTCTGTCAGAAAAGACTGAATACCCCACAGCCCAGGGAAGTAAAGCATGTGTAAGGCGAAAAAAAAACAGAAAAAAAAACCAAAGACAAGATATCCTCCCCCCCGTTCACTCAAGCTGTGTTGTAGCCATTTCCAGCCGTCCAAAAATCAAGACCTTTATGCCTGCTTTTAATCTCCCCCCCCCCCATTTATGATTGTAGTAACCCTGAACTCAACCACATACTGTGGCATAATAGGGAATTCCCTTACCCTTACCGTAAAAACGTACAAATCTTCACTTTAAGTCCTCTAGTCAAATACGGTAACATAAACAATAAAACTGTCACAACACTTGGCGACCTTGGTCTAAAATTAAAGCAGAAAAATCGAATCATTTACTAAGCTTACTGTTCCAGTATACTTACAGCATGGTGAATTTCACATAGCCAAATCCACGACATTTTCCAGATTCTGAAAAGAAACACACAAAACAGGTATATCAAGAACAAGCCAAGCCTACTTTTCTGAGCATCCAACCAGTATTCTTACTTGCGCAGATGTAAAGATTTCTTGCAAGAAAACAATCGTAAATCGGACAGCAGAAATGATTTCTGCACCCAAAAACACATTAATTAGGTAAACAAATTTCTTTCTAACTAATCAAACACTCCAATCAATTACGAAGATATATCATCGATTTTCTTACAGAGTCGGCAGTTACGTGGTCCACTTTTTAAGAGTATGATATACACGTGTAACAACAGCTTTCGCCAGGTTTCAACGGGTTTCACTTGGTCCCAGGTTTTGCCGGGTTTCGACATTAAGCAGTACCGCTATTAGTGGGGGGCTCCCCCCGGCAACAATAATAATTTTTAAACAGACACATAAATGCAAAACAATAACATAGAGCGGACCATTCGATCCATTGTACATTGCACAGCGAAGCTCAACACAAAAGTAAGTTCCGACTTTGTTAGATTCTGTGTTGGGTCAACCACAGTTCAGCCTTATCTAATCTAGATTAAGCCACATTTGTGCCTGGAAGGAATACTACAGTCCTAAAAAAATTGTGTGTGGGGGGTGGGGTGGGGGGGGGGGGGGGCTCTAAAGTAAAGTCTAAAGTGAAAGCACATGGCACACTCGATCTACTTTGACTTTTTGTCTTGTCTTAGGCCTATCAATCCTTGTCTGCTGATGAAGGCTGTAAAAGTACGACCATGACAATGACATATATGTCTATATGTGGTGCGTGTGTACGCCTCTCAATCTCACTCTCAATTTTGAACATGATGGCTACGGGCCACGGGGTGCCCACTACGGATGGGATAGGCCGATCAGCCCGATCGCCCAACTCAGGTGCCTCAAAAACACGTGTTGGTTTTCAGTTTCAGGCAATGAGTCAGGCGATCGGCCTGATCCAGTCGTAGTGGGCACCCCGAATTACAATGAATCAGATGAGAAAGAACAAGTTCAGCATTCCAATTTCAATTGAAAGTGGCTATTCTCACCCGCCCGGAAGTTCTCGCAAGATCTACTCCTCCCCTCTACTCTCTCTCTCTGTCTCTTTCTGAATACTGTCTATCGGTGTGGGCGATCAAATTGACCAAAACAAAGTTAAAATATGACGTTAAAACACAAAAGT